AACGTCTCAGTTCATGAAGTTATTGACAATTTGAGTCCATGTAGGGAGTCGTTGGAATGCTGCCAAGAACCAAATGACTGGAGACTGTTGTTGTCATCATTGTTAACGGTAGAAGGCGAGAGAGAGTTGGTTAAGGAATGTTTATTTGGAAATTGTTATCTCTATATAGCCAAATTATGTGTATACCCCCCTTATCTTCAACGCACCATTTGCACAGATCTTCGTGTTGTTGTGGCACTTCTGGCCTTCTTTGATATTGTGTTTCTTTCACGTCATCTCCCATGTATCTCTACAACGTTGTATCATTTGCCTTCTTTGACATCAACAGTATCTCCTTGCTGTATGATGTTTTTATGCCTGCCGATGAACATCCCTGTATATACTACTGATAAATGTTATCAGTAGCACTCGCCACAATATGGTGTAAGATTGTTATCAGCAGTTGAGATGCATTCGTCACATTGTGTATTCCCCAGATTCTTTCTTCCTTCCGTACATTTTTCCTCATTATTGTAGTTCTTTTGAATCTCTTCTTTCCTTCTTTCTTTTCTCTAACTTTGTTACCAACGTGGAGTTGGACATCTTGAACTTCTGCACTTCTGTTCAAGGTGTTTCACGTTGAAACTCAGTCAGCGCGACCTTAATGTATCCTTCCGGGTTAACAATGCACAGACTTACTATTACTATTTGTTGAAGATACAAACTTACAATGCAAAACTTGTGTACCTACGTGATCTGATTCATATAATTATTTGAAAGTCACTCATTTCCCCCCGATAGCCCTAGATCTGAGTGACCTAACTGACACCGAATGATTATTTCCCCAGAAGCACATCAGCTGTGTATCCCCTGTTCAACTCATCATCAGACACTCAAGTATTGGTTTGTAGGCATTTGATCGATTGGTCACAGGATTTCATCATGAGCTGACATCGGTTAGAGAACCATTGGAAAACTAGCGGGGAGTACCGGACAGCCAGCTATTTTCTCCCACTAGTTTGGGACTCTTCATCAGCACGCACCCATCACTTGGGGTTCGTACTCACGACGTTTTGGTTTCAAAGCTGGCGAGCTCGTAGACCATAAAGCCACTGGTCGCGCTATGTCGTGAATTAGCGGAAGTTGGAATTCATTAAGTGGCCATTAGATCGGGTCCCAGTGGCTTAATGGTCTACGACCCAGAAGGTCCTGGGTTCGAACTTCCTGTGATGGGTGCGTGCTGATGAAGAGTCCCAAAGTAGTGGGACGAAACAGCTGGCTGTCCAGTATTCCCAGCTGGTTTTCCAATGGTTCTCTAACCGATGTCAGCTCATGATGAAATCCTGTAATCAGATCAGATAGCTGAATTAGTTCAAAGCACACAGGAATTCACACTAACAGAATCTTCGAATCAGTTCATGATAAAAGTAATTGATGAGTTGGTCGTGTATTGCGATTTGAGTATACATTTATATATACTCAACACTATATATATATACCCATGACGTTCTGGATGCTGCGCAGACCTGTTCACTATTCATCCACTAGGAGGAGATCAAGTGGCCTGTCGATTCTGCTAATTTCTTGTAATTCACCGTATATAGCACTGCTGCCAGCTGATATCATCATAGAAGAGTATTTGTTCTAATGCTTAACTCAGTGAACTTCGACAGGCGAAGTTCAACAATAGCGTCCCAGAAGTGCAAACGCTCCAATGACCTTGAACGCATGCTAGTCGTTGGCTAACAGCACCTGTCATTATCATAACTGAAATATCAACCCTATTCACCAAATTAGAAGCAAATTTCACCCAGATCACGTTTTTAAGTACTGTCTGGACATTGTGTTAATAGCTCGTTGAAGTTAGGATTAGGGTTAAGGTAAGTATTGGGGTTAGGGTTAGGGTCATAATTAGGGTTAGGATTGATGTTAGGGTTGGTGTTAAGTTTAGGATTAAGGTCAGGATTAAGGTTAGGGTTACGATTAAGGATAGATTTAGAAGTGATGTCATTTATTTTTATTTGTTTTATTATCCACATTTTCCTGGTAAGTAGTCGTCGATCCTTTTACTGGAAACCGTAGTAATTCAACCGAGTGCTTTTGGGGAAGACCGCACAACAGGATAAGAGAGATAAACGATTCACAAAAACAGCTCATCTTTTTTCATCTCGGTGAATACATGTACGGAAATTAGTCTAACCTAGCAACTGATACTCCTCATTGTTACTGGGACGTATTTTTAAGTCATGTCAGAGAAAGATACCCTGTTTAATGTGTTCTCATGCATTTTCTTGTAAATATACGTCATTTTTTGTGCGAAAATTTCTCATTTTTATGATTGGTCAGCTGAAGGTCACTTGTGCGTTCGCATCCATGGGACGCTATTGTTGAACTTTACGCTTCGACATCGGTCTTTCAACTGTATCGAAACTTCTCAAAACCATCCTAATCTGATATAAGGTAGAGCAACACGGCTTGATGGAATCACTCCAGAGGTGATTAGGGACAGTGGTGGTGTATACTGTGGTCTGGGTTAACTAGGGTATTAGGTAATGTTTGGGAATCAGAGATAGTCCCATCGGGCTGGTTTAAGTCATTGATTATCCCAGTTTATAAGCAGAGAGATAAGTCTTCCTTTGATTATCATAGGGGGATTAGCTTGACTAATATGATATCTAAAGTTCTATGTTCAAGAACCATACTCAAACTAAGTGGTACTCGGAAGAAACAATCCCGAGAAAGCCAGGAACAGGGCGTATTGATCATATCTTCACTCTTCAACAGATTCTTCTACATAGGCATGTTTACTGGCGACCGATACTTGCCATATTTCTTGGCCTAAAGTCAGAATTTGATTTCGTCGACTGAGAGGGTATTGTCACAAAGTATACCACACTAATCAAGGTACTCAATTTACTCAATAATAAGCATTGTGATGTTTTCAGACCTGTAATTTGAAAGTGCTCGTTTGTTCCATTTTCATGGGCCTTTGAAAGATGTTATTGATGAACTTGAAGTCTATTGTCGGTACATGGATGATACACTTTTTTGATTATGAAAAATGAGGAGGAAGCAAAGACAACATCCTGGATAAATTTAACGAGGTTCATCCTGTAATAAATTTTACCATTGAGAAAGAAAAAGACTCAAGTATTTCATTTCTAGACGTCCCTATGACCAGAAAATAGGATGGCACAATAAAAAGAAGTGTTTATAGAAAACCTACATTAACGGGTCAGCATACTCATTTTTGCAGCTTCGCGACTTTGAAATACAAACGCAATCTGATAAAGTACTCGGTCCACAGAACGAGTGCAATCTGCACTGATGAATGTTTTAATGAAAAACATAATATCATTAAACAGTTGCTAAGTGAGAACGGTTATTCATAAAAATCCATCGATAAGGATAGGAATCAAAAATCAAGGCAGCCCAAGGTACCAGCAGTTCCGAAAAAGGTCTTCTTCTTAGAACTTTGGTTCCTCGGGGACAACATCAGCGAAATATTAACACAACGCCTTAGAAATGCGCCAAAAAGAGCATTCAGTACTGCTGAATTATGCTGTCTCTTCAACCCCCCCCCCGTATTTTGCATTCGGTAGTAAAAGAAAAACCGCCTAATTCCGACTCTTCTATGAGTACCTGTCAAATTTGACTGCTTCTGTGAAGCCAAATACATAGGCCGTATAATTAGATGTGTTTCTCGTCGGATTTCCGAACATCATCCTGTATAGTGGTTAAGTAAAGGACAAACAAAATGCATTCATAGCGCTATTCTATCTCATCTTGTGGATACAGAACACAAGAGTGATGTTAACGAGACTGCTTTCAAAGTCATTTACCGCATACCAACAACAAATCTCAATTTCGCCTTGAGAGTTCGATTACTAGATATTGCTGAGGCTGTTGGGATCATCATTGAGAAGCCTAATTTATGCGTCCAAAAGTAGCTAGTTCAGACACTATCCTTACCTTGGCCATCTAGTTTTGAATGATCCTGAATTTTTGTGGAATTTCCCTAATTTTAGTTGATATTCTATTTGCTATCATATCTCTATTAGTATTATTATAATTTAAGCATCCTTAATGAACTGTAATTTCATTGTGATCTTACTTTACAAATCGATATTATTTAAAAAACACACTAATATTCTTATTGACTACTTATTTAGAATATTCTATGTATATAAACATATGCATATAATTGTAGAGCCAGAAGAGGAAATTATCGAAAAGAATATTCTTTGCTCAATTATTTTGTGTTTTGTATTTCCACATTTGTCCATTTACAATACAAACTTCCTACATTACAGGCACTAAGAGAGATAAGCCATCTTAGTTTATGCGAGGGATGGAATACTTCCCGGGGCGCCAAGACCAAAGCAGGTGGTCATCTTAAGAGACCACTTACCTTCAGCGTCTTTGAGTTGAAGTCTGACCCACAAGACAGTGGAGTCAACGTGAGGGACTGGGTCCCTATGGTTTCTGGTGACCAAAACAGGTTTATAGGGTGTTCAGTCTTTTCGAACTACAGAACCCATGTACATCAAGGGTCAGGCAAGGGATCGTTTATTGAGAAAATCAAGAGATATTCATATATTTTTACGTATGTTATTATTCGTTATTATTAGTAGAGAAACAGCGTCTTCTGATTGGCTGTTTTCTCACTGAAGGTTAATCTGTCATCGCTTTGTGGCCGTTTCTTTGAAGGTCAGATCATCCTATCTGCGAATCGTATCCACCCACGCAAAGTTCGCTGTGATTGGTTGTTTGCTTTTTTCTCATGACCAAGACTTGGGAATTAAACATTGACGTCAATTGCTGTCTACCGATTTTGGCTAGTAGACAGCTCTCATCACAATAGGCTCTTTGTGGAATCGGGGTTTTGCAACTTCCCTAGGTAGACCTGCTTCTCTACACCATTCCAGTTGTAAGCGCCATATAAAACATTTGATAAATTATTTTGAATACGTCATAATGTCTATTAATATTTCTTATTACTTTCTTCCTTTTCTTTTCAGTTTCATATTAACCGGTTCCTATAGTAATACAGTGAAAATATTTGATCGTCATAATCCTATTGAAGGTTCATATAAATTAACTATGCAAGATGAAGAGGCTAGTTCATTTATTGATCCATTTCGTACAACAGATGGTGGTGGTGTTGGTGTCGGAGGTGTTAGTGTTGGCGGCGTTGGTGGTACTTCAGTATTTGTTTCCCCTTTACCAGATAGTATCGATATACCATGGCCTAGACAATTACACGATGAATTAATCGATATTACTGAAGGTGGTGGTTATTCTAAACAACTGTCATCACCATCACAATCATTCTCCCCCTCCCCCTCGCCCTCATCATCCTCAGCATCATCATCCTCACTGATCGATAATTCAAATGAACAATTATTCACTGTCGACGTTGGACGGAAATGGTTACAGGTTAGCTGGCGATCTGGTTCCAATGTCGCTGCTGTTAGTCATTCAGATGGGATACATTTGATTGAAGCATTAACTTAATGTGAGTGAGTAGGTGTGCAATTTTTGTGCATATATATATATACATGTATTTGTATAATCATTACACATTCCTAATTGTGCGTGTGTGTGTGCTTGTGTGCGTGCGTGTTACCTCTTTGATTTTCCTGTGTCGCCTTCTATTTTTCACCTTCTCTCTTCATCTGTTTGTTTGTTCGTGTTGGATTCTTTTGCTTTCAGGCTTTCCCTTAGACAGAAATAGAGGGGGGAAGTTTGAATTATCTTTCGTTCACGATGATGTTGATAATAATAATAATAATAGTGATACCATGAATTTTATAAAGATGCTTTTTGCTTTCATTTTGGCTTGTCATAGAACTATTCACCAGATATATATACATGTGTATCGTTTGTTTTCCCACATGTACATGCCTATCTGCATCTTATACACTTACTTCGCTAATTATCTCTCCGTTTTCTGCTTCCTTCACCCCCCACTTTCTTTCTCTGTCCTCCTCTCATTCCCTTGTGGAAAAATTGGGGATCTTGTCTTTCCTTTCCTCAAACTCTCGCTTTATTTCTCTCTGTGTGACCAACGAATTGTTCTTTCACATTAGGCGATAAAAAATCGAATCCCTTTGAGCACAGTGCTCTCTGTTTCTTCTACCCAGCCACCCATCCTAACCCCTCGCATCCTGTGTCCTCAGCGTATTTGACAGTCTGTTGATGGGTGACAGACGATGACACCGACAACAACGACCTGCGGGGTGGGGTGGAGGTCCTCTCCCTTTTTTCATTATTATTCATGTGCCAAACATTATCATTTTCTTTTGTCTTCAGTATGTACATTCACACTCACACACAATGCATATATATGTTTATAGACATCGATCGAGCTGTCGCTTACTTTCTTATATTGCCGCTAGATTGATTTTTGAATATACCCAGTGTACACAAACATATATATATATTCTCGCTTTTGACATTACATCATACTTTAGAATTATTCATATTTAATGAAAAGAAATTAAAAAAAAAATAAAAATTGGAAAAACCAGAAAACACCCTTGAGTTTTATTACTGTCCGACCGCCACTCCAGCCACACACTACTACCATTGACTACTACTCTGAGACATGTATGCTTTGTCACTTATGTGTGTTACTAAAATTATTGTTAATGCCAACACTTTATTATTATTATCATTGTTATTGTCATTATTATCATTGGACGAACCCTGATTAACAAACAAACACACTATGAATTATGCTACCAAATATTATTACTATTATTATTATTCCTGAAATAGATTTTGTTTTTCTTTTTTGTATTTTAGAAAGCTTTTCCGGTAATTTCTTTTCATACTTTAATTAATATTATTACTATTACTATTACTATCATTGTTATTATTATTATTATTGAGAAACAAATAAATGAAAAGTTATTTAATGATTGAAACACGACTGGTGTTCATCTCTCTTTGTCTGTCTGTCTGTGTCTCGATGCCCCCTGGTACGGCCAAGTGTGTCCGTCTGTCTGGATTCAACATAGAACTTGCCACCAAAGTGCAGCAGTTCGAGTTGCCACGTTCCAAATAGCACACAAAGGTAGACAGGAAAATGAGAGAAGAGAATCAATAGAGTTTTGACAAGTATAAGAGTGAAACAGAATGAGTAATGGTAGAAAGGAATATGAAAGATTACACAAGAGACTGAATACATCTGCGTAAGCCATTGACAACGAGGATTTTGAGCCATGTCACCTATTGTCTCCAGCCATTGATTGATTCTTAGAGTCCCGAGGGCGGGCCCCAACCCGGAAGTTTGCATCTCCCTCCCTACCTGACTCAGTTTAACTGTCAGGGATTTCATGGATTGATGTCATGTTTTTGTTTGGCCACCACTTACTCTTTTCCAACCTGCACCTATATCAGCTAGTAATGCCCGTCGGGGGAGGTGATGGTTACTTCATGCATTAACACACAACCACACAATAGGGTGGGAGAGGGATAAAATTCTTAAAAGTAATCTAGGTAGGTTGATTACTGAATCCTGCCTGGTTCATCGAGTCTACATCCAACACATGCAATAGGAATGACTCATCACTCATACTGGAAATATGGAAAATACTACTACCAATCAAATCAAGCCATGGAAAATAATGGAATTATATAAACGAAGTTAGAAAGTTGTGTGAGTAGTGCCTTGATATGATCATGCGCAGTAATGAAAATTGTGCTCGAAACGTCATCAGTAAATATCACTGTATAACACTGTGAGACTTTATCAAAATAAATTTTGGCCATAATGGAGCTATACTGTGCCCCCACAGTGCCCAAGTTTTATACTTGTATCAACAGTAGCTTTAAAAGTCTGATTTTTTTAAAAAAAAGTCCATGTTGTAGGCAGGAAGCCTTCCACCTAGGTTTCGTCCTAGTTGACACTCGTCAGCAAAGCCAACTAGCGCGCGAAACCTAGGTTCAAGGCTTACTGTCGATTCCCTCCAACCATCTAATATCAAAAATTCAAAGTGCACCGTGATGGCGAGCCACCTATAGTGGTATGTTGGCCACATTGCAAACTTGACTGGTAGAATTCAATCTACACCAGAATCCGAAAGGACCAAGTGATGTGTGAACGTGTTTTTTGGCCGCCGAAAATCACGGTGGACGCTTCCCCACTATCTTGTAGATCAGATTTCAAGTCAAACGTTTGAGAGTTGACCCATTAAAACAACTCCAAGCTTCGGGTTGGGCCTCTGGGCATGTAGACCGTTACGCCACTGGCACCCGCCCTATCCAATGGCCAACGCATAAATTCCAACTTCTGCCAATTCACATGATATGGCGCAACCACTAGCGAATGTCATCGGTGGCGAGTATTTGTCCTCACAGCTGACTTGCTGTACTGTACCAACTGGTTATAACTTCTCGTTTATGCTAGTTGTCGGGTACCTTCGTGACCTGAAGTCCTTCCTGTCTTTGCTGCCTACCTCTTCTGCTTTAACAAGAGTTTAATAAAGTACTTTATATAGTATTTAAATAAATTATAATACTCTGATCATCACATTTGTATAGAACAATCCCATCAGCCCCAACGGGTTGATCTCTGACGAAATCTCAGTACGGATACAGAGGGCTAGTTTCGCATATGCCAGTTTACGCCGTCTCTGGCGTAGACGTGATATCCGGCTAGCTGGCTGTCGACCAAAGGGCGTGTGTACTGCTCAACAGTCCGCTCCGTCCTCCTTTATGGCTGTGAGACCTGGCCATTGAGAGCAGAAGACATGAAAAGATTAGCTGTCTTCGATCATAGGTGTCTGCGTTCTATCTCCCGCGTCAAGTGGTATAATAAGGTGAGCAATATTGAGGTAAGGCATCGGTCGAGTGCTAGGTAGGTGGGAGGGGAAATCAGTCGACGAGACTGTGAAATTACATAGACTGAGATGGTTAGGACATGTGTTACGTATGCCTAGTCATCGCCTTCCTCGACGGGCAATGTTAGCTGATATAGCATCAGGCTGGAAAAGAGCTAACGGCGGTCAAATGAAAACATGGCTTCATCAGTCAATGAAATCTACAACAGTTAGTCTAAGCCAGTCACGTAGGAAGGTGTAGACTTCCTGACTGGTTGGGGTCCTCGGGACGGTAAACACCAATGACGGCTGGAGACAATCGGTGATATGGCTCAAAATGGTTGTCAGTGGCACAGATGTATCCACTCCTTGTGACTTATGGTTTCCAATGAAACTGTTTTGTTCTTCGTTATTACTATTCCTTTGTCTCACACCTCTGTTTACTGTCTCTATTATGCATTTCTTCTACTTTCTTCTCTTGCTTTGTGTGCTACATGTAGTGGAGTGTGGCGACTTGAACTGCCACACATATGTGCAAAGTTCTATGTCGAAAACCGACCGACCGACCTGTGTGTGTACACAAGATGTATTCTTGTATGTTTGTATAGGTGTGTCGAAGAAAGGTAGGGGGGAGAGAGATGTTTCTTCAATTTTCACTATAATGTTATATGCACAGGATGATGTTGAATTTTCCTCTACAATACTCATAACTAACTGAATTGAAGCAATTCATAATTTAATACAAATATCGTTCATAAAATTAACAATTGAACCTAATGGTTTTTTCTTTATTGGCTGCTGTTACACATTATCAATATTTCTTGGTATAGATTATCACTTAATTAAAGAAGTTGGTATGCTGTTGCTTGCTACTTCTGTACATGTACTCATAAATTATGAGTATCCTATATTGTTATTATCAATATTATTGTCACGTGACTCCTCTTTCTCTCTCTCTCTCCCTTTCTAGTTGTACCCTTAACAGATGGGTAACGTGATCTATTCTCAGTACTTAAGAATTTATTCGTTTCTCATTCTGTCTCTCCTACTCTCTGTCTCTCTTTTTAGTTGATAAAGTCAGTAATGTGCATTATTATATTGTATCTGTGTCAATGTTCAATATGTGTTGTATTGCGCGCTACACTGGATTGCGCTACATTCAGTGATACATTTACAATTGATAATTGAATATTAACAATAGGTGACCTTGAAGAGACACACAGACGCACACAATCGCGTGCACAGAAAGACAGACATTGATCAACATTTTATTATTGTAAATGTATATTTTTTTCATTGGTAAATAGCACATTGTGCGTGAAAAGAAAAAAGCAAAAAAAAGAACAAAACAGGAAGTTCGATTGATTGACGAGGAATTCACACTTGAATTTGAATTGATTGGGTCATCTTCCAGGGGTTGTTTCCGTCCCGTCTAGAGTTCCATTTCATACCTATTGATTAGAATTCTGGTTTCGCCATCTGGTAAGGGTTTTGTACAATAGTGATTGGAGTTGTCTGTAGAATTGCTTCTTTCCCACTGGATAGGTCACACACTCGAACCTCGATCCATGTATTGAGCTTTTGGGAAATCCCGGGTAGTGTTGTGGTGAA